CATAACACTCCCTTTCCGGGATCTCCTATCAGGCATATGGATTTGACCTTTCTCTCCGCCACGGCCACGTTCACTTCATATTTCGACAGCAAAATATGGTAACCCGCACGTCAACCGCCGCGCCTATGGCAATCATTGCACAAAACCTCACCACTTGAAGCACCTAGCTCGGGTTGAGGTATCATGAAAGACTGCCAAACGTGTCTTTCGTCTTGACAGTACAGTGTTCTTGATCGTACTGTGGGGGTACGTGTGTGTAGATCTTGCATTCGCAATTCGATGCTCTTTATCTGAAGATACGGAAATGAAGAGATGAATCCTGTCACGGACTTCGAATTGTGATATCGTTGTTTGAAAGCCATTTCTACAGCAGTGAGAACTTGCAGAATTGCGTGTGTAATGAGCAGCCGAGTGGACGTCCTGTCACAGTAGATCCTCAATCCGAGTCTCCAGGCACGGCGCCGTTGATTATTAGTTTCACGACATGGACGGGCAACGTAAGGTAACTAGATCTGAGGCTGACCAAAACCCGAACCTCGAAGATGTGACAGGTGACAACGTCGCTGACGAAATTGCCGAATCTCCATCGCGGAGGCTGCTTCGAATCAACGCGCTAGAGCCTGTCGCTGACACCATGGACACTGATGTAGAGACAGAAACAATGGTAAGTAACAACCATAAAAACAGCCTGTTGTCGATGATCATGAATTATTTCGTCCATGATCCATCATGCACCCATGCAGCTGTAGATCGCGTGGCGTGTACGTGTGCACATTGCCACATTGTCATTGGAAATGTGTGCTTTCAAGAACATGTTGGTGCTTTGTGTGAACATGGTGAATGAGTGCAGATCTAATTTTTACAAACATTTCGTCCTATGTTTGTACACACTTCAATATTGTGCACCTGGTCTCTTTGCACTCACCTACTGTATTGAGAACCACAGCAGTGCTAGATAAACGATGCTGACAAATCACTCAGGGTCGACGTAGCGATCAATGTGAAGTGCAGTCAAAAAGAGTGCTGGACTGCGCGCAGCAGCGTTCAGTGAGTCGGATGTGTCGTGACTTTCGGCACTGGCTGTAGAAGGGGTATCTGTGCGGTAAAGTCGTATTCACAGTTGCGTGCAGTATTACATTGACCGCATATACCGCTACAGATTACTGATGTGACGGGGATGGGGTGGGGCAGGTCCTGTGAGCAAGAGTACATAATCCGGACGACTCGGCCAACTCAATCTGAGCAGCAGTAGGGGCACCAGCAGCAGCTCCACCACCACCGCCAGCAGCAGCAGCACCACCACCACCACAGCAGCAGCAGCAGCACCACCAGCAGAAGCAGCACCACCACCACCGCAGCAGCAGCAGCAACGGCAGCAGCGGCCATGCCACTACTGTCAGCGTCTGTCGAGAACGGTAGGGGAAGACAGACTCATCAGACTCATTCTCATACCACAGTTTCCTTTCTAAAGACTTCACCTTCCCATCATCAAAAACCTAGCCAACAACAACAAAAAACTCCCAAAAACCCTGGCCCGCCAAGGGCGCAGCCAGCCTGACGGAAATCATATGCATATTATAAACGTAGCGCAGCGCACTGCCGAAAATGCAGTCACCAGCACGTGACATGCAGAACATTGGGGCTTGCGCGCGGGTGTGCAGCCGGGCTGTATCATGCAAGCGCGGATCATGCGGAATGCAATGATACAACTACAAGAAAACAAATCTCGGCAGCAACGAGTGCATTCAGAGAAGAAGAAATAAGTTCAGATTTAAGTATTTTGTGATGAGCAGCAGAGACAAACATGCAGGAGAGTATAATTATATGATGAGATGGAGGCGACATTGGGAATGCTCGGATTCACAATGTACGCGTGCCATCAGCTGGGTAATCAGAGTCGTCGTTGGACATCGTAAGTCCCAACTCAAATGTATTTGGAATATGATAATAAAATGTTATGGCAAGTTGGACTGACTGTTAATTAATTACGATGTGATCATGCAATGCGGGAGTCTATACTTGCAACCTCAAATTGATGTGAAGTAGTCTTCATGATGTGGTGACATTCATGACATTCCCGACAACGAAAGTTATCTTACCCACTCTGCGATACGCTCACGGGCCTTCTCTGCTGCTTTGCGATTTGCCCGCCTAGGCTGGACATGGTTGGGGCAGCTTCGTCCGCCATTGCCTGTTCCATAGCCGTCGCCGACTTGAACTGGGGTGCGTTGTCACACACAATAGACTTTGACTTGCCTCGTCTCGCCGCGAACCGTCTCATGCTGTTCAAGAAGGCTGCTGCAGATAGGCCAGAGACTATGTCCAGGTGTACAGCTCGTGTGGTTAGGCAGGTTACCAGGTTGATCCATACCTTGCCTTTCTCCGTGCCGGTGCGGATCAATAGCGGTCCGAGGTAGTCAAGACCAACGTACGTGAATGGAAGTGCTCTGGTAATCCGTTCCTTGGGCCATGGGGGCATGGACGGCAACTTGAACGGACGCCCTTCGTGTCTTCGGCAAACCGAGCACTGATCCAGGATACGGCGAACGATAGCACGGCCACGTATGGTCCAGAACTCTTGCCTTGTCTGGGCCAGGGTGTGTCGAACACCTGCATGCAGAAGCCGTCCATGGACTTCGCTGATGACATGCTTCGTGAACGCGTGATACGTTGGTAGCAGCTTCGGTAGTTTCTGGTCAGTTGGTAGTTCAGCGTTGCTCAGTCTTCCGGCGCATCGCAGTATGCCGTTGTCGTCGTTGGACATCGTAAGTCCCAACTCAAATGTATTTGGAATATGATAATAAAATGTTATGGCAAGATGGACTGACTGTTAATTAATTACGATATGATCATGCAATGCGGGAGTCTATACTTGCAACCTCAAATTGATGTGAAGTAGTCTTCATGATGTGGTGACATTCATGACAGCGTCATAGAACAGTGCGAAAGTAAAAGAGGAAAAAATGACGTTTTTTAGAGACAGGATTCCAGGATTCCGTGATAATTATGAAAAAAGGAAACTGGAATTTTTTTAAAACTAACAAACCAAGTAAAATCACCCTGCGTACCCATATACTAAGTTCTACATTTTTTGGTGGCGAAAATAGAAATAGGGGCAGGTCCTACATGTAAGTGCAAGTAAGTAGTTAGTTGAAGAAGAGTAAACACTTAGGATGACTGAAGCTTCATTTATCCGTATAACTGTACTATAGCTTGCACTATGGCAAAGGCCCTCCCAGATCACGCCCATGCGTCTACCAATTAACCAAGGCCCTGCTTTCCTCCTACAGTCCTAGCTCTGGTCTGCGGCAGTACCTGTGGACCCAGTGTGTTCGTTGTTATGTCCCAGGTGTGTAGCCCGCAAGGGGAACGGGCACCTTCTAAAATCGTTCAATCATCATTCATCATGTGCATGTTTGGGCCAACGGGCCTTGCGATGGCGATGCACGACGTGCCCGCTGTGAAGCCAGAGGCGCACTCCCACTGGACAACAGGGGCCCTGCTATGCCACTGTGCCCGCTGTTGGCAACTCCCCTACCCTTTCTACAGTCCATTTCAAAACTATAGACGCGTACCTAGGCAAAAACCGTTATGCCAGCATCTATACCACATAAAATCTGTGATCACTTTGTGCATAATTTTTTCCAAATTGGGCGTCTGTTATCCAATCCTTTAGAAACTATATGAGAGTAATTGTGGAGCGGACCTGAGCAATATTCCGAAAACTATTCTCAAAAAGCTCCAGCCAAATTTGAAATATTTCAAAAACCCTACGCGTCTATAGTTTTGAAATGGACTGTAGTTTCACTGTTGTACAGAAAATGTATATGGAAGACCGGAAGTACTTCAAAAAGAAGTATGCCCATTGTGTAACACTGCAGTAGTAGCTTTATATAAGACACGTTTTCACCCTATGCCTAGCATGGCCAAATTAATTCCATTCTACATCCTCTCGATCCTCTCCCACACTCTCCTCATTACTCACTATTCCGGTCTTTCTCCCCTAACAACAACAAACAATATAGATGTGTTTGTGCGGCCATGACTCCGAGCCAGGTGGTCACATGAGCACGGTCCCACAAACACCATCCGCACATGTGTGTCGACATCACCCCCACCCCTTTCTCTCTCTCTCTCTCTCTCTCTCTCTCTCTCTCTCTCTCTCTCTCTCTCTCTCTCTCTCTCTCTCTCTCTCTCTCTCTCTCTCTCTCTCTCTCTCTCTCTCTCTTCCCTTCTGGCAGCTCCCCCAGTCTCCCATTATCTCTCCCGAGCTGTGCACAAGTGCGCCTCATGATAACTTTCCAAAGTATGTGCAATCAACTATACTGCTCTTCCTTGTACGCGAAATGGGGGTCGTTTGTGTCCCCTACAGGTATATGCGTGTGTCCTACTGATTGTACTCATAGCATGCTGAGTCTCCCCTTTCATTATGGGCCTGGCACTGTTGTGTTTGCCTGTAAAATAGGATCCGATGTAGAATTGGGTGATCATGGTGATAGAAAAGATCATTCCTGATGCGCATCACGTGAAGAGTGGACCATGAAGTAAGGCATGTCACATAATTGTCAGCCCAGCGCCACGCACGTCATACCATCTATGGCGATTCTCATGCACTAGGCTGTAGTGTAGTGTAGCAGCTGCTGTCCGCATGTTGAAATGAAAACGACGATAACTAACTTGGATAAGTAGGTCTACGACCCGACTCTACTGCACTGACTGTCTGTCAGCAGATCGTCTCGAGATATCGTAAATCAGCTTTCTTGTACGAACTGTCATTTTAACATGTTGGGAGATCAGATTACGATCCAATGCTGGAGTGCAGTGTGGATTAGGAAGTCTGGTGGCCACTATATCCACGCGGGTATGTTGATCTACAATACTGAATATCTTAGCTAGCTGCACAGCTCTGAGATAGTAGAAGTAATGAGCCAGGAAGTACTAACTTACTTACTTGTCCGACAACCGCGGAAATACTCGTATCCACACTCCGTACTCCGGAGTGTATCTGGCTAGCTACTGCCGGTAATTCTGAGTGTGCGAATCGTGCCACAACTCTGGAAACCCTGATTCCGCGAATCCCGATTTGGGGGTTGTTGGCACCTATCAAGCGATCACGTAACAGCTTCATGGAATCATGGTTTCAGGGATAGCACGTAGATTCTATGTAGACTTGTAGATGCGCCGACGGTGTTGGTACGCAGAAATCGGAATTGTCATTTCGAGCGACCCCTGCTTCGCTCTCCGAAGCAGAGTTCCTTGTCTTGTGGTACTAGCTAGCCATGGGTGTGGACAGCGACCTGGACGAATCCACAAGCACCAGTGGTGTTGATGCCCATCGACCGAGTATCCAGGGCAAAGTTCGACCTGTGAACAGCGTTTACGCCAGTCGCTCGTCCTATGGTTCAATTGGCACTGCATCCACTTCCGAACTCTCTGAAATGGCTTCTCGGGGCGCAACACCAACGGAAGAATCGCAGCCGAACACTCCTGGATTTATGACTGCTGGCGGTGGAGATGGCCCTCTGGAAGTGCCTTCGCCCTCCATCTCCACAAGCACTGCAGGCGGTGGTGCGGTAGGTTCCAGAATTGTCCTCCGTACTATGATGTATGATTATACTTACAGCATGTCAGTAGAGTATGGCTAGTGGTAGTGATTTATTTTTCACGAAGCCTCGAAGGGTGTCCCAAAACGACACGCTTTATTACAGGGTGCCCTGGAGGAAGTTTAGAGCCCAGAATGAGCAGCAGATTGTGCCTGACGACAGTCCGAAAGAAGAGCTTTCCACCGATGTGCTGCCACAAAGGAAAACTGGGTTCACCCATAAGGCATAAGCAGTGCGTACAGGAGGTAGTACTACATTGCATTTCAGGTTTTACCGTACCGTTTCTATGGTTGTAGCCAATGAGCGACGTTTCCGCGGTGGCCTTGATGAGCCGATAAAGCCCGTCGTCAATGGATATGGAAAAATACGGTAGCAATAAAGCCCGTCGTCAATGGCACCCATACCCGTACTCTATCAGCCTAGCTCAGCAGGGGTCTGTGGCAGTTGTTCGTTGTCAGCTCAGTTCGCATCTCACATTCGACTGTGAACATGCTCTGGTAGCTGAAAACAGCCTGTCCAAAAACGGCAACATGAAAAATGTCTACACAGTTTCCAACTCACGTTCTTGTGGTCGTGAGTGGAGATGAAATTTCACGATAGTTTTGAATAAGCGAAAGAGCATGCACCTATCTATCTGCTCCAAAGCAAGCTAAAATAAGTGGCAATCATCGCGATCAGTTTTCCATGTTCGTTCTACATTGTACTAAACAAAAAAGTACTTGACGAGTTGCCGAACTTTTCTGATACTTTTGATTTGAATAAGCGAAAGATCATGGACCTGCTCTGAAGCAAGGATCATGCCGTTCATGAGAAGCGGACAGAGCTGAAACTCACAAGCTGAATCCACCACGTCCCCGACTACCACCCCTATATGTGTCTTGCTTTTATACCAGAAACGCAAAAGACAAAACCTGAAACACGATCATAGAGGTCTGACAGGACATTTCGCCTTCATCAAGGCCTCGTGCGTACGGCCGCGGGCACAGGCCTCGGCCGTACACACTTGGCCTTGATTCAGCTGTAAAGTCCTGCCAGACCTCTATGATTGTCTACATCGTAAGGCGGTGGTCTGCTGGCCTCGGGTACGGGCTTTCGTGTGTGGGCCAGCTGCGCGAAAGAGAAAAGTGAAGGAGAGGGCTAGCATGAGAGGATAAGCAGCGATAGACAAAAAAAGTGTGAGTTCAAATCCACTCTTTGCTCAAGTGAATACATGATGAAAATACTGAATTACTTGTAGTAGAATAGCTATCATGCAGGGGTGTAGCTGGTCCCCTGTTTAGGGGGTGCACGGCCGCATACATGTAGGATGGCTGGTGCATGTCATTCATAGCCGTTAGGGAGTTTCTGCTACACGGAACTACGTACCAAACTCCATGTCAACTGCAGTGAAGTTTGACACGGATTTTTTGTACGGGGCACTGGCTGCATATCTGCAAGTGTGGCATACGTTCCTATTGAGTAATGAGACCCCCATTGGGCTCATGGAAACTTCATGTATTTTACCTACAGGCATGGCCCATTCCCATGCAGGGATATTGGAGTGTAATGTTCATGGAGTTTTCCACTTCATCTCGTTTTATTCATCTTCCATGTGTAGGATGTCACGCCCAAATTGAAGCGTGTAAAGTCCAGCTTCGGATCGAAGAGCCTAGGCTACTGGGCGTCATGTTGCTTGAACCTGAACAATTGCATGGGACCTGCCATGGTTCTACTGCCACTGGTATCACAACAAGCAGGCTGGTTCACACCCACACTTGCTCTCCTGGTTGTTTTCGTCTTCTCCACATTCGCCGGCACAATGGTGAGTTGTCCGTTCGCACCTGTGTGTTGGTATGCTTGTTGTTCAACTGCAGCAATATTCAGTATGCACAGGACAAGATCAATGGCAATGTTGAGCTGTTTCTCCGTAGAGCTCCATTCTCATGCCGGATTGTTTTAGACTTCTATTTTCTTGTCAAAAGATAGTGTGTTTTTTGCTACGCATTTCTGGTTGTGTGCTTGCTGCAGCTTTGTGAGGCAATGCAGAGAATACCAGGCAACAGCAGGTTTAGCGCAGTGCCCCGCATTGAATTTACAACAGCAGTGCGCCATTACTATGGAACTAAGGCATACTATGTGTTCCAGATACTGTACACGATCAGTCTTCAGGCTTTGAATATAGCCAGTATGATCATCTCCTCGCAGGTGAGAATATTCAGAGCATGCCAATGCACGCATGAGCTATTTTGAAGGTGCTGCATTTTCAATATGCCTCTGGAGGACTTTGCCGACACATTATTGCACAATATCTTCCACGATACCTGATGATACCAAACGAGAGAGCTTGGAAGCTCAGGGCCCTGCGCTATGCTTTTTTACCTTGATGACCTAGACAAAAAAAAGCATAGGGATGTTATAAATTTTCTTATAAATTTCTCCTATTTTTTTTCAGACATAACCTGGGATTCGAACCCGCACTATCGCCCTGCATGCATCCCCCGATACACTTCGCATACATACTAATTCTTCCAAGTTGCTTCACGTTATGATCTTGCATTTGAAAGCCCTATTTGAATATTGTGGCCAGCCGTCTTTGATGGTACGGTACGGTGCGCGACAGGTACGGTCGAGGGTAATACGACATCGTCTACCGCCTTGATGACCTAGGCAAAAAAGCATGAGGATGTTAAAAAAATTTCAATTCTCCTATTTTTCTTTTCAAAGCATAACCTGGGATTCGAACCCGCACTATCGCCCTACATGCATTCCCCGATACACTTTGCATTCATACTCATTCTTCCTAGTTGCTTCACGTTATGATCTTGCGTTTGAAAGCCCTATTTGAATGTTGTGGCCAGCTGTCTTTGATGGTACGGTACGGTACGGGACAGATACGGGAAAGCGCCAGGCATGACACAAACAAACAAATACCAAATTAAAGCTGTGTGGACCCTGGCTAGCGCCAGACGTTACTGAAGTAACGTCTTCTGCATAGCTACGGGAATGACAGATTGATTGATTGCTCGCGTGTGGAGTCAGGATTTGCAAATGTACTAAAATGACTTTTGCATGTAGCACTTCATGCATCGGTCAGGCCACCAAAGTGGGCGCACCCCATGGACAGTGTGGCTATCGCTTACCAGTCGCTGACTACATCAATTCGCAAGTACATGTATGCTTTATCCAAGAAGATTCTGGAATACATTCACTACTGTATAGCAGGACATTTTCGGACGGAAATATTTTCGGACAACGCCGAATTTCAACCTTTCGTACGGAATTTATTTTCGTACAGTGCTGCATGCTAACTAAATGCATGTGTTCGCAAGCAGTACGCATGTATAGTGTGCATAATTTCACATGAACAAATTTTAGTACGGAATTAATTTTAGTACAAATGAGGCCGTGTACGAAATCATCCGAAAATAAATTCCGTCCGAAAATTTCCTGCTATACAGTATGCCCTTTTAGTATGCCCTTTTAAACAAAAGGAACGGTAGGGAGAAACACATCCAATGATGTGCAGCTGGGGAAAAAAGCCAGAGCGCACCATGACATGAGCAAGACTTGATTGATACTGAGCGCTATCAGCTTTCCCTCAATCCCATCGAGGTTAATTCTGTACTAAGAGTAGACTACAGTTGTTTCTGTCAGGGTCGTCTTCGCTGACTGTGTTCTCATCCTCTCTTCTCTGCCACTCCACCCTCCCTCGCAGGTGGTGGACAACTTCATCTTCAAAGTTACCGGGAATAATTATGCCCTGGACTACAAAACCTGGAGCATTGTGACTGGCTGCTCTGGGTTCAGCAAAGACGCCGTTGGCCAGTGTCTGGAGGACAGTAACATCTTCCCTGGTAAGTGGCAACAAGAGCAAAACAGGTCAGAATGTATGTGGTGGCACTCCAGGGCTTTGTACATGTACGTGTAGACATGGCTAAAAAAAACCGGATTTCCGAATGTGTATGCCCACTGGGTGCGGACGGTGGTGATATGCCAGCGACGCATGGCTGGCAGACCGCTATTTTTTGAACGGAAGGGCAAAGTTTGAGAAAACAGCCAAGATGTAATATTTGTCAATTATTTTAGCTGTGGTCGCCATTGGAGGTTTCTTGTTGTGACGTGTGATGTGATCAGCGGTACTACTCAGCAGCCTTATGGTTTTCATCAAGAGTACATAAACCAGAGTGTGCAACTCGGGATAGTTCTGTGGGAGCGTAATTCGTGCAGTACGTCATTTCTGACGGCATGGTAAGCCACAGGTACGGTGAAAAGTTACGTAACCAGTCACGGTGGTGCAGGTCACTGAGGTTGTCCTGGTTTCGGGTTTTTGAAACGGATAGCCTGGTGAATTTACTTGTCGGTGGATGTACGCAGCGTACACAGTCCCATAAAAACACCGAAATCCTGAAACATGACGTCTAAAATCAAGCAAACTTGGCTGATTTCCGGGCTATGAAACACGAAAATTTGAGCTGTACGCAAGTCGCGGCCTGGCTGACCTCATCAGGGTGACGTAGTGCACGAACTGCGCTGTTTCAGATCTGATATGCACAGTTGCACACTCTGGTTTATGTACTCTTGTTTTCATGCATAGCAAAACTGTTTTGCCAAGTATTCGTGCTACACACATATTTGTAGCATTGCTCAAATTGCCTTGTAATTTCCTTTCTGCAGTCTCCACTGTCATCTCACTTGGATTCATCGTCAGTATGCTGATCTGCCTGCCGTTTGGATATCTCAATCTGGTAGGTACTAGTCTAGTACCGTACTACCCTACGATTGTGTGTGAACATAATAATAGAACAGTTCGCGTACAGGGCAGCAATGTAGTGCTAACCATTCCGCTTCTGTCTCTATTGAACTCCGCTACATGTGATGGTTGATTGTCCACGTGAAAAAAGGAAAATACCCTGAGAGAAATGAAAGTGCACAACCGGATAGAGATGTGTATGGAGATGGGTTTGTGAACATGCATCCTCCTTTTTCACCGATGAGTTGCAGTAGCTTGATGTCTAACTGGCACTTCAAATCTTCTTTCTGTGTCACACAGGATGACAACATGTGGTTCCAGTGGTTCTCTCTCATTGGCCTGCTACTCTTCACACTGGAATTTGTTGTACAATTCTTCCTCAACATGATTCCTTCCTCAAAATACTATGTTGGCCCACACTATGATCCCGGACTGGATATGAACCGGACAGGACTTGGACCAGAATTGCTGCCATTTTTCAAAGTCGGTGGCCAGGTAAGAACTACTTACAACTTGTTGTCCATCTTTGCAGTTTTATACCGGTACTTGGATTTATTTCCAGTTCGCATTTGCAAGCTTTCTGTTCGCTGGTTTGCAAAAGGGGTGTTATCCCTTTCTCCTTGAGCCGTACGATACAGTGCTCACTCCTATGCAGTCATGGCATTATTGAACGCAAAAAAAATGGTGTGCGAATCCGCATACGAGTAAAAAAGACGCAGATAGCTGCTTAGGGAATTGGTGTCACTGGCCTTGACTCAAGAATTCAGTACAGGACTGCAGCTTGCGGGTCATGGCTCCCTCGAGTCAGAAAAATGGCATAAGCAGCGGATCCCACTTTCCGTATCTCACCTGGGGAAGCACCATGTATTCTTGATGACCGTCCATGAGAATGTGCAAACACGTGTGTATATCAAGTTGCAGTCTTACTCGCTTTCGTTTGGGTTGCAACTTGCAAGCAATGCCCAATCACGGTGTTGCTCTGCCTCTTTGGATCGAAAGAGTCTTGACATTGTCTGCCACTTGATCTCCACTCTGCAGGGCTATGTGTTTGGCTTGGCAACATTTGCTTACTCCTACATTGTGACCATCCCATCGTGGGTCAATGAAAAGAAGCCGGAGGTCAGTACCAGTCCAACCGTGTGCCTGGATCTTTGTTCTGTTTCCTGTTCATGTACTGTGATGGCTGCACCTGAGGCTGTCTCATCAGGGGCGGTATGAGTGTACCTTCTTTCTTCATGTGTGTGCCTTGACCAGCTGAACATAAACCTTTATAGATTCACGTGTCCGTGTCCGTGTCATCTGTTCTTTTGACTGTGCAGGTATCAGTCAATAAAGCAGTGTGGGTGCCCGCCACTCTGGGACTTGTCATGAAGCTGGCCATTGGACTCATGGGCGGCATGAGCTTTTATCTGTTGGGCAAGAACAACCAGCGTAAGTATCGCAGCTGACTGTGCTTTGCGTGATGTGGTAGCTTATCAGGATGAGAGCCGCCAGAGTCATACTCTGGTATTCCAGACCCGTTTGTATTGGTCATGGTGCATCATCTTTTGATATTGCTGTTCTGCTTATGAGAGCCGATAAAGTCGTGCTCTGGCAGTTAACCCTTTATTGGCTCGCCCATACATTGATCGAACACCGATGTTCGATGGGTTAGGCATTTTGAAATTATGGTAACTTGGTCAAATCTGGTTATTTTGGAGAGATCGAAATATGTAGGTCGAAGAGAAAACTCTCAGCTGTCGGCTCGAACAATTTCCAAAGCGATAGGAAAATCGGTTCTTGAGTTATAGCACTCGTAATGTTGGTCCAGGGAAATTTGCGCTCAGAGGGAGATGCGTGGGTCAACGGCCGGGATTTTCCCTGCTTACGTCACCTATTGACAAGGCTACACCGATTCAAGTTCAAAAGTAGGTTCCCGGGAGTCTCTACGAAATATTTTAGTTTGATATGAGCAACAGGAGTGAAATGGTGGATAGAGATCGATCTCGAGCGTGAGCCCAGCGCTGGTGCGTTTTCCCTGGCTTGCAGCTCTGGGCCAGTGCATCCCGTGGAGTCGAGTATAGGCGCATTGCGCTCCTCTCGCCAAGGCCTTTCCAGGATGCCCAAGATCGTGGAATTTGTCCAGTGCAAACTAAAGTTACGTCCAATTTAGGTACAGATTTGGTTATTGCGTGGGCTTGCTTATATTTTAAATCGGCCAATAAAGGGTTAAGGCCCTTTTGCATTGATCACGGTGCTTCATCTTTTGCTTGTTTGCAGCCCTGAATGGCGCTGATAACATTCTCATTGAGCTTCTCCACCCAAGGATGCCTGCAGTAAGTGCTTGTATTTTGAAGCATCCTGGCAGCATTGACAACATGTTCAGTGAATAATCCAGTGCTATGCAAAGCTACTTTAAATCCTGTAGCATTTAGATGAGATTTTATTGGGTTGGTTGGTTATTTTAAATCAATGAACAAAGTGGCAAATTTGTCTCATTACACGACGACTAAATTTTTTCAGATCACTCCTGAAATTCCAACGCATGGTAGTTGATCCCACAATCATCTCTGCATGGCTACAGCACAGTTACACTACACTACTGTACTGGAAGGAAGTGATGAATGGTGGTGCCGGTGTGTCTTGACGCCTGTGCTGTGTAGGTCACCCAGTACTCTGCTTACCTGTGGAACTTGACCACTCTAATCCCCGGCATCCCCGTGTTGGGCATCTACGTGCGCTACAATCTCCTGTCTGGAAAGGTCTTTGGACCCGTCCAGTCTGCATTCTGGGGTGTGGTAGCACCGTGGATTGTAACGTTGTTTCTCTACGAGCAGTCTGCACTGGTAAGCAGATTTCCATGCTTTCCTCTTCTGCATCATCTTGGTTTGGAAACAGATAAGCGAAACATTTATTGTTATAGCTAAAACCCGTCTAGGGTTACTGATTTTTTTAAATGAAATGTTCTGGTATATTTCAGCCCCACACATGAATCCTCTAAAAGAGGAGAAAAATCAGAATCAGCAACAACCTCGGCTGCTATGTAGCCATCCGTGAACTCCACCACTCAACATCGCACTCTCGGCTGACCTATTCCACTTACACAGCACCACCATAATGAGGACAATCCCGCTCGAGACAATCAGAGAGAGGGAGAGAGAGAGAGGGGGGGGGGGGGAGGAACAACTGAGTGTTGTGGAGTTGGGGCGGTGTTAACTTTTGCGCATGGACTGCATTCAATAAAAATTTGCTAACGAGAAACCCCCAACTGGTGAATATCTGGAACATGGATCAGAAACAGCTACATTTTCACTCTTTAAAAAAATGTAGACAAAGACAGGGCTTACCATGGCGAGAAAGTGGATGAAGTGATCGTGCTTGGGCCTTGGATTTTTCTTTCTCCAGAGCGAAGTCTGCAACTGGATTGCTCTCATCGCTGCCGGCTTCACGAATTTTGTTGTACCCGCCATGCTCTACTACCGCTCCTTGACTTGGTACCCGAGCAGCGAAGAGAGAGCGGAACAAAGGTGCAGTACACGTTCATTAGTGCTTATTTGTTCGTTTGGTATTTTAAAGCTCTTGTCATCACATTGCATAACTTACACGCATCCAGCTTTGAGTATGACACAAGTGCAAGGGTTGTGGGTCTTCTCTACTGTATCCATTTGGGTAGGATGCTGACATAATTCTAGCAAGCGCTGAAACAAACAGCTGTTTCTGGTACATGTAGTCTGAAAAGAGGGTAAGTACTTAAGTGGGCAGTTTGGGACATGAAAATGAGGTTACAGAGGTGATTTTCCTGAAATGAACATATTTGCTGAATTAGCTTGGCACGGAATCACTGATATTGTGAAGTTGTTCTTTTGATTTAGCCCGGGACAGATGGTTGGCTGGAATAGATTGTATTGTATTGTATTTTGTGCTATATTGTTTGTCTTGGTCTTGTTGTGCATGCAATTGACACCCTTGCAGGACCGGCACATCCGGGGCCTCTCCTGGGCATAGGGATGATGAAGTGGCTGCTTTGCGCGAGGAAGAGCGTTTGATCACATCTGATACGGTAAACGAGATAGTTGAATCTGGCGACCTCTACGCACAGCAGCAGCGGGTGCATGCTGTGCCAAAGTGGCTCCGCATCGCACCCAAGAAGCTTGCTGCTGGTATCAGTATCTTCTTCACGTTGCTCAGCGTCATCACGATCGGCTGTTACATATACGCAGCTGTAGCGCTGGGATCCACCGACTGAGTTTTCCTGCAGTGTCATAGTGAGCAGCCAGTGTCCTGAAATGACTGTACTGCAAGTAACATGTATGGGGTTCATAATCTTCTGTCACTGTGCAGTTGTATTTTATACCTACTTCAACGTCGACGCCGATTATATTTTGTAACAGCTGACTATTAATATGATAAGTATAATTATTATATTGGATTGGGCCAGCCTGCCTCTTGACACAGTATTTTTTAGGAGCCAAGGCAAAGCACCACATCACACTCGACACTGCTGTGCAAGCTGCTATTTATGATATGAATTCATCGAAGAAACAAATCACTTCATTATTAAAATATGTTACCATTCATAGACCTTTAAAAACTGAATTCAATCTTTAGACTCTGGGCAGCAGGTCTGCTTATCTTGATCAAATCACTGCTTTCTCTCTTATTGGCACAATGGATCTGCTTACTGGATGTAGTTTGGAGTAAGTTGCTTTTTTCAGAGCAATACTTTTTATGCATTTCGAAATGAGTTGGCTGAATAGTAATTTATTTTTCGAATACGCTTTTCGACTACACTTTGCCTACTCACAGTCATTTCAGCATAAGTACTACTTCCAGGGACCGCAGTTCAGAAGCTGTCATGCTCAGATCATTCTCTGCGCCTTTCTCCCTGGTTCTTTCCTTTCTTTGTAAGGCCACACGTTTTTATTTCTATGTTTCTCGTCACCTGAAAATCTAAAAACGTATGCGAGAGGTGGAAAAAAATAAAAAAGGACTGAAAAATAAAAAAGTTTATTAGACCTTTGTTCACACTAAAATCCACCAATACACCATGCAAAATAGCATCCATAGTTAGCAACTAGTATGTGGTAGGAGCTTCTGTCACAATCTGTGCACGTGCAGCTAGATTGCGCACAAAAATGCCGTCCTTGCATCATGTGTCGCGCAGGCCAGGCCACATTATGTACATGTGCATGAGTGTGCTGGTCCCCACATGCAGTCAGTGCAGCACAGTTTTTTTTCTTTTTTTTCTTCCAGACTCCTGAATCGTATGCGCGCGGGTGACGAGAAACATAGAAATAAAAACGTGCGGCCTAATAATAATAATAATAATAACTTGATTAGGATGACCCAAATGACCGCCTATCGTGGGGTCCGTCGCATTGAAGGATGATGGTACAAGATACAAAATACATGACTGTAGTGGTCTGCAACTTCTTCGAGATTTCGTTTGTGCTCTGCCAAAACATTGATCAACACAATCGCAGTGTACTGTAAAAGCCATTATTCTAACGAGGCGCATATATAACGATTTCCCAAAATTGACTAGTTTGCGTGTACTAAAGGTTGTTGTTGTTTCTTTATTTTACTTCACCAGAATTACAGGCAGTAGAATGCCTTCTCACTAGACCCGGTCTAGTTCTCACAAATGATGAAGAATGTGAATGAACATGCTAAAGCTAATGAAAAACAAGAAATAGAAAAAGATGAGAAAATCTTGTGTTTTATATTTTATGACGGTATTTGTATGTGAGTGACAGTGATTAAATGACAAGGGAAAGAAAAGAAAAAGATAGAAAGAAAAGAGTAAGGAATAAACGAAGCAGATGTATGAAATAGAAATAGAGAAGTTGAGGTATTTGAGGAGAAAAGTCAGTTTGTCGATTAGAGACCAAACCAAAAGATCAAAATGCACATGTGTGGTAACGATTCTCACTCATTCTCAACGCTCAATAGGACAGTATATGTATTGATTTCTGTAGAACGATTTCTATTATAACGACAGATTTCTCCTCGTTAACTCGTTAGAGTTAACACTTTGTTATATTATGGCTTTTACAGTAGTTGATTTTACCAATCACTTTGTGGCAATGGCGGATGTTCACATACTAGTACCTGCATCCGAATTTAGGACAGGAGAGCCCCCCCCCCCCCCCCCCCCCCCAGGAGGGGCGCATGTACTAGCACGGGCGTCGGACACGCTACGTTCACTACGGTATCGACCGTACCACTCTTTGCCCCAGGTACCCCGTAAATCAACAAAAATGCATTTGTTTAGGCTTTGAATTTGTCACCAGAGAAATCCCCCCCCCCCCCCCCCAAGTAATCGAGCCCCCCTAACCGTACCACCCTAAATCTGCCCCCTTGGAAAAACGCGATTCCGCAGCCGCTGCAAATTTCGCAGAAATTGCCATCATCCTCGGAAATCACGGAATCCACACTATTGCCCGCGGAAATTGAATTTTTTAGGATAAATTAGTGCAATTACTACTCAGAAAGCAGCAGAAAACTACTTTGCGATCTGTTTGAGCACATTATGCTCTTGCGAGTGTAGGTGAGTGCAGAATCTCCAAGATTCTTCACTCTCATTCAGTTTGTGACTGTAAACGATAGTGTGAAAAGTACTCCTTCATGCAAGGAGGGTGAAAAACTTGCAGAAAGTGCCGCAGATTTTTGATTTTACCACAGAAAATACCGCAGAAAACCCCCCATTTCCCCGCGGAATTTGCCGCGGAATATTGAATTATTGGCCGCGTTTTTCCAAAGGGACAGTAAATTACCTTCCTACGCCCCTGACTAGATCATTCGATCGGCAGACAGCTGGTAGAAATTCCAACACCTTGGAAAAGGCCATGATCACCGATTCTCACATCGCGATCAGGGCCAACTGCCGGCACCGGGTTGCAGAGCATCCAGGTATGCCGATTAGGCCTGAACCAACGGCCTATGCCGGGAAATGGTTGGATTGGGCCTAATCGGCATGTAGTAGGGGGAGGGGGGGGGGGAACAGTTACCCCGCAACCCATTTTGCCATATTCAAAATAACTGTCTTGCAATGCGAAATGCAACGTACGGGGCAAACACCTGACTTCACCCCAGACAAATGTGCCCTTATGAACCCTCTACTCAGTAGTACTGACTATCGACTGCATTTTTGTTGAATGGCATGAAAAAACACAAAAATCGGAAAATGAGTGTGGGGGGGGGGGGGGGGGCAGCACTTTTCACAGGGGGCGCTGCGCCCCTACCCCCCTCCCCCTCCCTTTACCTAGAACCCTGGTAATAGTGGTAGTACGTAGCACAGTAGAGTCGCACGCTGAAGAATGTGGAGCTCAGGAACGTCCAGCCTGAAATGCTAAGAACGCCACAAGCCCGCAGCCTAAAGTTAAGAACGACGGTGTTGGTTTTCTGGCAGCTTTGGGGATACATGTGACCAAGAGTACATCACATACCGATAGTAATACATGGGGTTATGTACTCTTGATGTGACCCAGTATGAATTGTTTCTACCAGTAAGAACGTGCTATAAGAACTCAGCCAGATCGCTGAAAATGAGAACGTCCCCTTGGAAGCAACGTTCTTGGACGCGTGACTCTACTGTAGCAGACCAAATAGTAGGACTCTTGATACACCGTAGTATAATATTATTAGTCTACATTTTTGAAACGCACTGTAGTAGCAAGAGTACATAACCCCGGGGTTATGTACTCTTGGTAGTAGTCATATCCTATAGGCTATAGTATAGCCTACCTGGTCCCTGACGTGGCAAGAGGAGCGAGCACTGTTCTGATCCTTGGCAACTAACTTACTTTCTTGGCATTTTTAAAGTCCACTGAGTCTGACACTATACTGACATGACAGGCTCTCTGACTTCTTCAAAAGAGTCATTTCCGGCTATCAGTTATCCTTGTCTAAATAAAATGTCATGATTGTAAGTAAATGATTAAAGGAAGAGAACAGCTGACGGCTGCATACAGTTACATGTCCTATCTGTACAGCCACGACATCAAAATTATTATCAAATCACCAGGAAAATCACGGAGCCAGGTACATATTCCATGATCCAAATACAAGCTTTTCATGACAGGCCATCCATCATCCCTGGAACTAATACTACCAAGGCAAGAGTCCATAATGTCCACGTTTATGTTATTATGGTTATCCTCGGATATGGATTATGGACTCATCGATGCATCATACTTCGACGTCTACAAAAACAACATGGATCATACTCGTAAATCTACAAAAATGAAAAAGGAAAAGAACGAGTCCATAAAAAAAACAGGGAGTGCTCGTTTTTACATGATTGTTTTGTCTTTTGATGCTTCACTGTTTTGCATATCCGTGCAGCCCACGCTTCACTTCTTGACTTGAGTTTCAGTTTATTTGCTTCAGCTAGCTCAAGCTTACATGATCGTGCGTATTCATTTTAATTGTGTCATTGGCAATTCTGTCTCAGGCAGATGAGGTTTATACATGCTCGAGCTCAGGTAGTCAGATTTCAAGCTTTGTAACGTTACGTGATCTGGTGATAGCGCTATCGTCTGAATGGATAATTTTATTTATATTTTGACCTGAAATTCGAAATGTTGGGAGAGAAGATAGTGTGACGTTTGGCTAAGCCTAAGGGCAGTGCTCGAAGCTTCGAAGTTGGCCATGGAGTTCAGACGAGGTCCGTATCATCCGTCCCACAGTATCACCGAGTGGGGTCGAGAAAGAAACGGCTGCCCAGTGCGTATCCTCTAAACATCTAAGTTCTTTTGTTGTTGTTTTTCTAAGCTCTTTCTGTACAGACGTTATGTGTGCTTGTTATTGGCGGCGTTATGTTGCCTTTTGAGTAGAATCTAGTTTATGATAAAGCTATCTTTTTGTTTGGCATGGGTACAACTTAACTGCTACACACCACTGCACGGAAATAGAATGAAGACTGTATTTTTAGTTCACCAGCAAAATTAAAGCAATTCCACCTCCACCACCACCACATGCGCTCTCTGGCCGACCATCAAACAAGCAACACGACTCCCAAGTTGTAGATTCTGACAATATTTCCTCCATACAGCGCTGTTTCGACCATTGTAAGGTCTCACCAGTGAAGGTTTAGAATAGCGCATGTGGCGCATGTGGTGGTGGAGGTGGAGGTGGAATTGCGTTACTGTAGATATTTTAACGTCAATTTAAAGTTAACGATCTCCGGGTTTTTGTGGGTTAGCGAGGTGAAATTCTGACGACTTCTGTCTCAGAACCGGCAAATGTCTGTACACGTACATATCGTTTTGCACATAGCGACTTCAAATGTTAACGATTTTTTAAATTCGTTAAATCGTTAGAATTAAATGTTCACTAGCATTACTGGTCTTACAGTATTGACAAGGCCGAAAGCTTCTGCTTACCTTTTCACCAGCAAAATTAATTGTAAAACAAATCAATTGCCAAGTAATGTGCTGTAATTTCACAAATTTTCGGTGTACTTTTATTTTCGGTACTTTCGGTGCATCTGTTTCATACCTAAGATTTCAATACACCGAACAAACACTAACACACATAATCCAATAAGGAACTGCTTCTCTGTACCGAAAATTTCTGTTCACCTAACCTAGCTTTTTGCTCTCATACCGAAAATATTGAGCACCGAAAATTTCTGAAATTAGAGTAACCTCGAGTTAGCTGTCTACAGTGGAACGACCATGTTGGCTCATTCTTATCCCATTGTGCACGATTCAACCCTAAGTTCCCAGTGTATAATATTGGTTGTGCATTGAACACAAGGCCCACGTCTGTCAAAAGTGGGACCATCACAAAGTGCTGCTTTTAGCAGCGGGCTATGTTGTCCAGTTTGTCTTTCACTGGCAAATTTGTTTCGTATTGTATTTATTCAAATAACCTACATGGAGATAATAATTTTAATAGCTATGAATAGGATGAAGGCCGCAGACATCACGCAACTACGTTACTTGTTTGACATGTATTACTGTGTATTTTATAACAAAAACATTATTGAAAACTCAGAATCGATTTTCTCGTTCCTATCATCAGTGGGAAAAACGGAACTAAGGATACAACCAAAGAAACTGAAGTTAAGTACTGTAAATAGAAAGGTGTTAGAAATAACATCAATTTCCGTTTTTCCCACTGATGATAGAAACGAGAAAATCGATGCTGAGTTTTCAATAATATTTTTGTTATAAAATACACAGTAATACATGTCAAACAAGTAACGTAGTTGCGTGATGTCTGCGGCCTTCATCCTATTCATAGCTATATTGTATTTATTTATGGATTTAAAGCAATTCACAGTTCGCGTTACGTGTACAAATTTCCCAAGGGTAAACGGATACCCATCCGAGGAGGCTCTCCATTGTGGAGACACTTGTTAGGCCACACGTTTTTATTTCTATGTTTCTCGTCACCTAAAAATCTAAAAACGTATGCGAGAGGTGGAAAAAAATAAAAATGACCGAAAAATAAAAAAGTTTATTAGACCTTTGTTCACACTAAAATCCACCAATACACCATGCAAAATAGCATCCATAGTTAGCAACTAGAAGGTGGTAGGCACTTCTGTCACAATCTGTGCATGTGCAGCTAGATTTCGCACAAAAAATGCCAACCTCGCATCATGTGTCGCGCTGGCCAGGCCACATTATGTACACCTGCATGAGTGTGCTGGTCCCCACATGCACAGTCAGTGCAGCACAGTTTTTTTCTTTTTTTCTTCCAGACTCCTGAATCATATGCGCGCGGGTGACGAGAAACATAGGAATAAAAACGTGTGGCCTTATGTGGTTGTTTTAAGTTCTCACCTCCCTCCAAGCTCATGTCCAGTGTTGGGAAAACTTCTGTTATAACTAGAGTCAGAACGATTGGTTCCTTGTAGCAATGCTATACAGTGTAGACCGTACACATACAAGTAGATGAATGGCTCACTGCCCCCTACTTTCTCTGTTTGGTTAGGCTGGTTCTGTATATTTCCTTAACCCAGCTCTGGCTTTTTGTAGCGACTGACGCTGGTTTGGGGCGTATGCCACCGTCTCAACCGTACTATGGTCCAGCTAGTCACCAGGTAACTGGCCATGGTCCACCCCACGGGACTGGGATTGGATATTCCCAGATACAGCTCCAGCAGCAGCAACAGCGACGGGACATACCGCCTTCTGGCCTTGTAAACATCCAGCGTGTCATGCATGATGATATACGCACGGGACCCCAGCACGCTCGTGCCGACATGAGCCAGCTGCATTCACGTGTAGATAGTGTCCATGGCACTTCCCCTGCCGCTGCGGTGGCTGGTTTTGGTCCTCGCCGACCTGCACACTACAGCAGCGGTAGTGACCTTGACGTAAGGCACCATCACGCCCATGGGCTCGGTGTACTGGGTGGACGCCCGCAGCACGTTGGTCATCCAGCCCCAACCCCAGGCCAGGCATTTGGCCGTCCATTTCCGCATGATACCCGTGCCGCATCGCCTCTGCCTTCCCAGATGAAAGCCAGTCGATCTCGTGAACAGCGCCGTCCTCGTCATCATGGCCCGGCTGCTGTGCCACCGCACCATCAGACTCTCAGTGCGACTGTGCATAATGCGCCTAGACACGACGCCCAGGCACGGGAGATGGATGATGGTGTGTTTCCAGGCCACCAGCGAGCAAGTGCAGGTGAAGACCGGGAGCAAGGAGCAGGTGGTGCGTCTGCTCCCGCACCGGCTACCCTTGAGCCGCATGAGCATGCCCGCGCAGCAAATCACCACTCCGCAACGGGTGGATTTGTGGCTAGGTCCAGTGGTGAAGGTCGTTTTGACAGCAGGGCACCGTCGTTCCCTCCTCGTGACTATGATGATCCTGCCCAGTGTGAGCGAAACGCCAATGTGGCCAGCACAGCAACTCGTTGCAGTGAGGGTGCTGGGGATGACGATGACGATGAGGATTTTGAAAACCTACTGACTCGCTACAGCTTGCTAAGGCAGACACTGGATGCCTATAATCGCAAGGAGAAGGAAGAAGCAAGCGAGCAAAATGTAGCCACGAATCCACTTAGCACGGCTGCTGATGTTCTGGAGACTAGTGATCGTCTTCTTAATGAGGAAATTCCTTTTCCACAGCCACCTCCGCCTGTGGGTATGTCAGCAACGGGAACAAATATGGCTATATGTCCTGCGTCGGCCGTAAGTAGTGTTATAGTTGCATCTCTTGACTCTGTTTCCAGTTCCCCCAACGGAGCTCCATGTTCAATGGACGGTGCACTTAGATCCTCTGCCCTGTCTGTAAGCAACTCATCTGCTATCCCATCTAGTCGGGACAGATCTACTCGTAGTAGCTCATCCAGAGAGCAGAGCTCAAAGACCTCAACGAAAGTGTCTAAAGCGGCAAGAACCTCCCGAAAGTCAAAGAAAGTAACTGCAGAACCGCAACTTGATAAGGGTGATTGTGGTGAGGTTGGTGACGGGAAATTCAAGCCGTTTCGAATAGCTGGTGGCAAGAAGCAGAACCCCATTGTTATAGATGATGAAGATGGTGATGGCAGAGTTGCACCTAAGAATCAGCAGAATCTGGAAAGTCAACCCGTCAGCGCTACGCATTCCAGTGAGTGTGCAGAAGTAGCAACTGCATTACATTCCTCACCAGCTCCTATGCTCTCAGCTTGCAACGTTCCGCCAACTCCCGGCTTGGCCTCTTTCTCGGGAGACCAGCCGACACCAAGCACGGTTTCAGGTGTCACCATCGCAACTTGTATGGTAACGTCTGTTCCCCAACAAGCTTCATCAATATCTCTTCAGCAGGCATCGTGTACTTCTGTGTCTCACGCTGGAAGTGGAAACATCACTTCGCCATGCAGTGGATTCTACCAAAGTAAGGGAAATGGTGAGCCTTGAAATTACGCTCTACGCATATTGAGGTCAGCCCTCTCAGGCTCAACATGGTTTCAAGAACTAGACCGCATTTACGACTCAAATGCTTGTCTGACAGTAACTTTCACATCCCTAATATCTCTCTCTCTCTCTCTCTCTTTCTCTCTCTCTCTCTCTCTCTCTCTCTCTCTCTCTCTCTCTCTCTCTCTCTCTCTCTCTCTCTCTCTCTCTCTCTCTCTCTCTCTCTCTCTCTCTCTCTCCTCTTCTTGCTGCACCTGCAAGGGCATCTTGGCTGGGTGCTTCCAAGTGCTAAGACTCTTGCTCTGACCTGTTGTGACTAGCACTATCTATTCGCATGCAACAAACAAGGCACTGTTGTGGACATTGAAAACTGCTGAGAAATCAAGCGGCCACGGGGCGCTGGCCTGGCAGCAGCGAGCACTGCTGCAAGGCCAGTTTTGCATTGCGTTCGTGAACTACAGTTGGTGTACGCACTAAGGCACACATCCGTGTTACCACCGGCTTACAATTCTGTTGAGACACACAACCGGCTTGGAGAAGTTTTGCACGTGCCAGGCCACATACTTGTACTTGTGTGTACATGCCAAGTAATATTCATCCTGGGAGCATGGACACATGCCTTTTACATAGTCATGCTCACCGCAGTACATGATCCAGAGGCTGCCGAATGGTGGACATTTTCGTAGTTATATAGTGAATTTGTGTGGATCCCGTTCTGTGCCCGAACGGTTTTAGTTAATGAATCTTCTGGCAAAGTGTTGTCTGCTTTGCATTGTTTCCCTCATTGTGCATCAGATTCTGCACCTCCAAGGCATGAGGAAGTGATGGAAATCTGTGATGCCGTGGCGGAAGTTGGTGATCCAGCTGCCGCTATTTTCCCGTACGCAAATGCGGTTGTAGGCATTTCGAAGGATTCGTCAGTGAATGCTGTTCAGCATGCTTTCCAGTCGATTGTGGACTGGCATGTGGACACTTCGGCTATGGCCAACTTGGAGTCAGCAACAGCTTGTTCAGGAACTGCTGCCCCATCCTCGTTGCAACCTGCCCCAGTTTCCGCTGTGCAGCAAGAACACGAGCACGAGGACAGCGAAGACGAAGAAAGGAAGCTAACTGCCATGCGCGAGCGTCTGCTCAACTCTATGATGAAGAAAGGGACCATTTCTCAGCCGTCGCCTCCAACAGCGGTGAGTTTGCTGCTGTTGATCAGTTTATAAATGTCTTGGCCAGGTAGATGCTCTCTCTGTTTTGTTACCGGTACGTATATGAACTCTGCATACTGTAGTAGAAGGTTGAATTTTGAACATTCCATTTTTCTTCTCCTTGTTCCACGTTTGAATCTAAGAATATTGCTGTCACTCTTGTTCACTGTATTTATAACACAGACGGCTGGACTGTCTGCACCGGAGAAGGTTTCAGATGATGCACCATCTCCAGCACCACCTGCCAGTAATTCTCTCAAGGTTTGTGCAGTCATGTATTGCGGTGTGTGCGTGCATGCATAGTGGTGCACTGTGCTTCCCCCTCTTCTGGTGGTACGTTCCAATGTTCGGCTGCCAGGCTTGGCTGTCTTGTCCGTGCCCGTGCTTGCTCTCTGTCTTTTCTTCATCTGGTGTGTGTGTGTTCCCGTGTGTGTGCGTGCGTGTGCGTGCGTGTGTGTGCATGTGTGTGTGTCCGTATAATCATGCCATTTTGCTAGTGGTTGAAGCCAGATCCTATTGTCATTGTCCTGGGGAAGGACTCATCTGACAGTGATGATGATGATGATGATGTCATTGATGATAGCCAACCATCGGCAGTGGACACACGCCTGTCAAGCATCGCACGGGTGGGCTCGGGCACTCCACCGTTGACACAGGTGTCCACTTCCAAGCCATTGTTTTCCCTGGGCCCTATTGAGGCCATGCTGAAAAGTGTGCGCTCAGATGTGGAGGTAGGCCTGACCCATGACTATTGTTTTGACAGATGTGGTGCAAGTGTGCATGCACTGAATCTGGCTGCTTCTGTACTAGCCACCACTGTAGGGAATGTGAAGTGAGTGGACGCTGGCTTGTGCACAACCCCTATCATACCTCTATTGAGTATTGTGTACATTGTGTTACGTTGGTGCTACTACATTTTTGGTGCCTGGAGTTGAGAACCTGAATTTGCGAAGACCTGGTGACCCCTAGCACCTCATCGGTAGACCTGCATTTTAGTTGTCCAGTGACCCTTAGCACCTCACCTGTAGACTTGCATTCTAGTTGTCCAGTGACCTTTAGCACCTCACCTGTAGACTTGCATTCTAGTTCTCCAGTGACCCTTAGCACCTCACCTGTAGACTTGCATTCTAGTTCTCCAGTGACCCTTAGCACCTCACCTGTAGACCTGCATTTTAGTTGTCCAGTGACCCTTAGCACCTCACCTGTAGACCTGCATTTTAGTTGTCCAGTGACCCTTAGCACCTCACCTGTAGACCTGCATTCTAGTTGTCCAGTGACCCTTAGCACCTCACCTGTAGACCTGCATTTTAGTTGTCCAGTGACCCTTAGCACCTCACCTGTAGACCTGCATTTTAGTTGTCCAGTGACCCTTAGCACCTCATCCGAAGCACATATGGGAGTTGAAGAGGGCAGGCAAGCCGCACCCAATTGTATGGTCAACCATGCGGTCACTTTCTCACGCACTCCATATCGCGCTACATATCACATGGTAATTGTTACGCTGGGCTTGCCACATTCACGGTACAGCAGTACTCTCAGGGCAGGGTCAGTATCTATTTTCGTCTAATGATCGATTCAGAGTTACGAAAAACAACTACTCATTCTTCTGTCTGTGTAGACCTGCATTGTAGTTGTCCAGCGCTGTTTGTAAGGTGTTCAGTGTTCTCTTGATTTTGATAGTTTCCTCGGTCAATGGTGTGCTCTGCTATATGCTGCGGTCAGGATAAAGAGAAGAAGTCACAAGCTGCTGCCTTGGGCGAGTCGCAAGATCTGGCCCGGTCTCGGCGCTTGCAGCTGTTGAAGGCTAAGCTAGCTCGTCTGGAAAAGGAGAAGCGGGAACGCAAAGGTATAGGGCAGTAGTCTATTTTAAAAACGAATTTGATTTGACGCGTGCATCATGTGCAAGAGTATTATTCTCTCTCACAAGTACTCTCCAGCCTGCTGCTTCCCTGCAGAATAGAATTACATGTACGTAAAACTCTTTGCGTCTTGCGCGACTTTTGTTTGTGTGTACCTACTTCGAAGTAATACATATATCACCCAGCACGTATCTAATTTTACCTGCCTGTTCCAATTCGTACGTGCCCGTGTGCTGTGTGCTGTGTGCCGTGTGCTGTGTGCTGTGGTCGTGCCAGTCTCTAATCTCAAGAGGAAAGCAGTGGCGAGTCGCTTACGGAGAGAACAGCTTGACTCTGGGAGGCTGGCACCAATGCAGCATTCACCGGGCGTAGCCAGTAGCCGCGAGGATAGCTCTGCACCCACTTCATCCGAGTGTTCTCCAGCTCCTCAGGTGCAAGATGAAGAAGTTGATCGGACCAGCACCAGTCAGAGCAGTACAGCAGAAGAAGAAGGCAAACGTAGCCGAAAGGAACAGGAGCACTGTCTAACTAGAGAAGCTGCAATCAGTCCAGCTCCTGCCGACGACCCAGCAATTCAACATTACCGGTAAGTAGATAACATGATTGGGAATTCTAGCAGCTGATTTGCATACTGTTTCAATTTGTCTTGTACTAACCCGAGCAGACCAGCATGCACTTGGAAAGGCCAGCTATCTTGCATGCCATCTCATTCTGGCCTCAAAGTATACTAAATCTTGTAATAGTTAGTCCTGGGCAGGGAGTTGTACCTTGATGAGGTTTGAGGTGATTCCATGTTGAGCTGCTCATTGTGGGCTCATGTACTGTCACTACCACTTGTTTCAGTGAATCTATGCATGTTACACTAATAAGAAATGTTTATGTATGTGTGTGGGCACGCACGTGTGTGTGTGTGTGTGTGTGTGTGTGTGTGTGTGTGTGTGTGCACGCATGTGGGTGGGTGTCTGTCTGTTTGTGTGTGTCTGTGTGTCCGTGTGTGTCTGTGTATCTGTGTCTGTGAATCTGTATATCTGTGTGTGTGTGTGTGTCTGTGTATGTGTGCTTGATGACAGGTCAAACATCAAGTGCAACAAGATGATCTTGTCTCGGCTGCTTGTGACCCTTATGAACAAGGAACAAGAAACGAGCCAGCAGGCAACACATATTCAGCAGCTGGAGGAAATCTTGGAGGTACGATGGTATTATCTCTGTCTGAGCTCGTAGCAAGCTGGTCTTATCGCTGTTTCCCCGGCAGCTGATATTCTCTTCCTAGGCTTGGATGTATGTATAATCTGGACTGTGGTCTGCATGCTGGATACCGTAAGCTGCCTATTATCTGCATCACTAAACCTGTGCGCTGCGTTGTCTCAAAGCCAGGTAGTTTGCTATGGAAAACATTAGGGCTCAAACGGTCACGGTTTTACCCCCAACGGTTAACTGCTATTAAAGCTAACGGTCGGTTTAACGGTTATAACCTATAAGCCACGGCAATCCTGCGGACTCTTTTTTTAACCGTATATTTGGCTATACTTATTCAAAAAATGTACCCTATTCAGTACAACGCACACATGTATATTCTCTTGCATGCTCATTCATACATACTCTCACACGAAGAGACCAGATATGACCGAGTTGACAGCCCAGAAATTGCGTACGCGTGCGACAGCCTGCGAAAGTGCATACTTTGCAACGACCTGATACTTGAAAAATTGACTGAAAAGTTACTGCGTAACCGTTATCTTTATCGGTTAACCGTTAATTCTTCGTAACCGGTCTGCAACCGGTTAATCGGACTAACCGTTTGAGCCCTAGAAAACATCACACCAGACCATCTGGTAAAAGGAGAGCGATCGCTCTCGCGCGCCTTCGCTCTCCTTATTTTCTTTTTAGGCACACTTTTCGTTGCGCGCCTTGAGAATTTCGAGCGCATCCGCATCACTATGAAGTTCATTCTGCAAACACTGAAATATTTCGTAACTCGGCTTTCCCTGAACGGAATCGAGTAATCGAAAGGTCTATTGACTCTATTCGCATTAGAAGTTCTCAGCTGTCGGCTCCAACAAATCGGAAGTCGATCCGAGGTCGAATAGTGGAGTTACGGCACTCGCAAGGTATTTTACGTACCATTGCAAATTTTCACTTCCGCACTTGGGTGCCAATCATATTGTTATTTTGACCTAAAGGATTTCCCTCTGCTGCGTGACAGTCCGGGCATGCATAGACCTGTGCGACGTCAGGCACATGTCTTGAGCGGTCTGCTACAGAAGAAAGTAGCTCTCCACGATGAATACTGCAAAATTACCATGGATCTTAGCGAATTGTCTCAATTTCCTAATAAGCGTGTCATTGTCCAAATTGATGAAGGGAAACTAAAGTTGTGGTCTGAACAGCTTTCATTTGTGGTGCGTACGGCGATTTTCCAGAACGAATTTGGCAGCTATTGGGTATTGAATCCGATTAGGGTATGGCAAGATGTTGAAAACCCCGTATTGTGCTCGCCTTGGATAGATATGGTGAGCGACTTTTTGGGGGGGGGGGGGGGGGGGGGGGAGGGACTGCTCTCCCACCACTCTCCTTGAG